ATGGAGTTATTGGACCAGTTTGTATGGAGACCATGGCAGATGAAATTTTTGAAGAACTTGAAAAATATCACTCCAATGTACTCTGTCAGGCAAATCATGAAAGATAAAAATCAGGTCCCTACTCAGTGTATGCAGCTGACATTTTCAGGTAAACTGTTGCCTGAACATGTATGCATTGGGTATCAGCGTTTTCCAGTGTGGCTCTTTATAGATCGCGCATGGCAATGTTATAATTGCCAGGACTTTGGGCACAATGCTGTGCACTGCACTGGCAAAACTAAGTGTGTTATTTGCTCAGGTGCCCACAGATCCCAGGCAGTGTGGAATTCTAGAGGGATAATAAATTAACTAGTACACATAGCATATTGGAAAGCAGGACCTGAAAGCTTGGAAAGGAAAGGAACTTTATACTTTCAGTCTATTATTTACATATCCTATCCCTTTCCAGAATTCCAGCTGTGATTGGTTGATAGGATTGTGATTTTAGCCCCTTTCAGCTTTCCAGCTGTAGTTGGATAATAATAAACCCATCAATGTGAATCAGACATTGGTCTCTTCAATATCTAAGAAACTAATGAGCTCAACAGTCCTCCCTGTTCAGACAAATGAAGAAATGTTAATGAGCAGAAAGACAATTTATGACCACAGTGATGAAAACTCAGCAATTGTTCCCTCTCCCATTTTGGGCAGAACCAATCACACCAAACCTGTACAAGCACAAAACACTAATGAACCCATGGAACAAACTGGCATATCTGGGAGAGCTCTAAAGGAGCCTAAGGCTACCATTCCCAAGAAGGGACAATCTGAACTCAATTTAAGTGGAAGAATTGGCCAGCCAAGAGGGACTCCATTAACAAAGTCAGCTGTGCTCTCCTCAAATCCTAAGATGAAAAATCAAAAAGGTCAGGACTCTTTGGTTCAGCACTCTTGAAAATGGAACAACTTCGTATTCTTTTTTGGAACTGTCGCAGCCTGCACACAAAATTATCCCACTTCAAAGTTAGACTGTATGCAGCCAAGCCCCATGTGGTATGCCTCACAGAAACTTGGTTAAAACAGAATCGAGAACCTACCTTCATAAACTACTCCGCATATTTTCGACACCGACAAAATTGATCTGGTAGAGGGCTTGCTATTGTGGTACGAAATGATGTGAACTGTGCTCCTAACCCTCTTAATAGCTTTCCAGCTGGATCACTAGAAATTCAATCCATGAAAGTTTTCTGTAACTGCAAGACAATAAGTATAACAAATGTATACAATCCAAACTCCCCTATTCAAGTGGCTGAGTACTCACATTATTTTAACCAACTCTCTGGCCCATGAGTGATTGTGGGCGACTTTAATGCACACCATACAATGTGGGAAGGTCAAGGTAACTGCAATACTGCTGGCCTCAATTTGGTAGAAAGCCTAGAAGATTTCCTTGACTTGAGTCTCCTAACAGTGTCCCCACCTGTTTTAATGCCCAAACAGGATCTTTTTCCACATTAGATCTATGTTTTGTTTCAACTGATTTGGTGCCTCTCCCCAAATATCTCTAGAACCTGAAATGGGCAGTGACCATGAGCCAGTGTTGCTATCTGTGAACATAGTCCCCAGCAAGGCCGTCTTCAAGTCCAGGCAGCGCTGGCTTTTTCACAAGGGATCGTGGAGCAGGTGGCAGATGTCTCTTCCAGAGGTTCCACCAAGCATGCCTTTTGAGGAGGAGGTAGAAAAATTTTCTGCAGCACTGTTTGGAGCAGCTGAATCTGAATTTAAAAGAAGTAATGAGCAAGTTTCCCCTCGCTTCTCCAAGCCTTGGTGGAATGAAGCATGTGCAAAGCGTGTGGCAGAGAGACATGCGGCCAAAAACATATTGAAGAGACATCCATCTATGGAAAACTTAATTGCTCTGAAGTAAGCGGAGGCACTGGTGAAGCAGGAAGTAAAACAAGCCAAGAATACATCATTTCAGGAGTTCTGTTCCACTATACCCCAATGGCCACAATATGGAAGAAAATTAGAAAACTATCCAACAATGGACACAGCCAACAAGCCTCACCAATTAATTAACATCTACCTTTAGGGCTGTGACATGGAAAACATCTACCTTTAGGGCCGTAAGAAAATTGCATTCTGTTTTTGTAGAGGACTGGCAGCAAAAGTTGGTTAGTGACACTAGTGGCTTTGAGACAGGCTTATTCCTCTGCTCCTCCTCCAAATCAAAGACAAAATAAAAAACTGGCCATGTGCATCAAATAAAAACAGACTTGTTGAGACAGCACTTGCCAGACTTTGACTGGGACAGGCTGATGTAAGAGCACACATGACTGGCTTGCTTTGGGATGCTGGACAATCCAATGTGTAACTGTGGGCTGCATGCTGAAACTATTGATCACCTTTTGCTTCATTGCCATCTGCATTCCCTACCCAGAATTAACCTAACTCACTAACCATACTGAAGGTGGATTTAACCAGGAAGAACTTGCTTGGAGGAGGACCATTCCCACTGGAGGTGCTGACTAAAATAATCCAAGTCACTTCTGATTACCTATCAGCAATGAATGCTATGAAGCAAATGTAATTCTAGCTTAGGAACTTGTAGAGTAAAGTTAGCTCAATTGTTGCCAATAGTAACTAAAATTTGTGTAGCTTGGTAAGACCAAACAAGCATATTGTAGACTAACTGTGAATAACAATCTGTGGCACTAACCTTATCTCCAATTTTCATGAAACGCACCCACTAGTGCATCCAGCAGCTCAAGTAGAAGCACTCTGTGCAGATCAATTGACATGTAATGACTGCATATGTGAAGGGTGCTTCTATTTGTCTATCATGTATCCTCAATACCCTTCTGCTCCTTTAGAACCCTGCCCATAAGAGATCCATCTTGTTTGCACACTTACATTAAATATTACTTGTACAAGGCCTATTGGCCTCAAGAGGCTCCAGTTTGAGCTGCCCAGGCTGGATCCTTGACTAGCTGATTGGTTGTCATACGGTATGTGGCACAAGGTGGGGCATCCTCTAAATATTAACTGGGGTACACTGGCATTTACATTTGCATGTTCTCTGTACCACTTACAGTATAATAGAGTAGCACTTGTTTTATAATCATTATAATGTTATTTTGAAACATACTTACCCCTGTATTATGTTATTTTGAAATATACTGACCCCTGTCAACAAAATATTCCCTGATTTATGATATTGAAATATACACAATAACTCTTAAAATTTTGGGTAGTTTTTGTTGCAATGCTTGCAGTGCTCTGTGCTATTGATCTTCATGTGCCCACAGTTGCTGTGGCTACATCTGTAACAAATTCCCCTTCAGTTGTTGAGCTACATGGACAAGTCTCCAAAGCTCCAATAATCACCAAACAACAACAGCTTCTTTGGGAAAAGAGCATCAGCCTATCAGGAGAGGAGACTTGCCTTGACTTCTTGGGAAAACAATTGGACCTTGAACAGAGGAAAGCCAACTGGCATACTTTTCTCCATTTTCCATCTCTCAAGATCACTGCAAAATTGTAATTAATTCTCAGCATTGATTATATGTATCATTACTATCATTCTGTTTTCTTCTGTGATCAGTTGAAGGACATTTGCCCCGTGGCAGCGGTGCCATGCTTGGCTCTATGGGCAAAAAGAAACAGAGGAAGCCAAGTGGTAGTGGATTAAGTGGAGCATCCAATCACTCACTCATATTTGGATGGAAACACTTGCTCCAGCCTCCAGTCATGAAAATTGATTATTTTCCTCTTTTGATTGCAATGGAATTCTGTCTCTTTCACAACCACCTGCCTTAACTGGCATTATTGGCACAACCCAGAGCTCAGCAGTCAGCACTTCAACACAACTTGAACCTGCCACCTCTCTCTAGCCTTAATAACCCACCTGCATTCTGCTCATAATGATAAACCACAGGTTTTTTTAGAATCAATTTATTTTCAATTTCCTCATCTGCTCAAGATTTAAACCAATATCTTGTGTATGATAATGCTGGTATCCATACTTTACTTATCTACTTATAGGATTCAAAAATGAACTGGAGAAAGAGTCTAAAAAAAGTCTGTTTTGCCAGTGTGCCTCTCTCAAGCCTAATAGCCCACCTGTCTGTGATACCTCATTAGAATTTCCTCCCATGATACTTAATTGTGCAACTAATTTTGGTATTCAAATTTTGAAGGATTTTCAAGCTCACTCCTTTTTGATGATATCTGTGGCACTGTTATTACAGCAGAACAAAGAAATAATGCTGAGAATTTTATAAATCCGCAAAATTTTGTCATTTTGATCAAGCCTGTCTTGCTGCTGAATGGTGGTGACTGTCCACCTGGACCTGATCAAGTTGATCTCAGTAGGTTCCTCTCTGATGACCAGGATGCTGGGTGCGGAGCTTGCCAATGTTTGCATATGTAGACCAAAAACGTTGCTGACAGTACCCAAGGGCCAAGATGCCTCCTGCATTGCTGGCAGTCTTAATTGGCCAGATTCACATGCACTATTGTCTGAGTCACGGGTGGTTTTTGCCCAATTTTCCTGTTGGGGTGAAGGTTAGCTGATGCTTTTTGTATAGGTATTTAAAGAATACCTATACAAAAGTAGAAAATACCTCTGCAGAAGAAAAGACAAACCAGTGCAATCAATGAGCAATTTGAACCTCGGTTTACTCTGCTAAAAATAATATTTGAAATGAAAGTAAAAGTCTAAAATTGACCTGACTCTAATTCTAGACTGCCAAAACAAGATTTTAATTGTATGGACCTTGCCTAACTCCACTTTAACCTCAGAGTTCCAGCTGATCTCTTGAATCAAGAAAAGGTTTTTCACACTATCCAACTTCAAAATAATTTTTGCATTGCTCAGTATTAGTAATAATGTAAGGCTCACAACTACAATTACTATATAAATGGCCAATTCTGTGTCATTAATGGTAGTTTATGTACTAAATAACTTTATTTTTAAACAAAATGAATTAATACAATTAATTTATTCATAAATCTTGCAGACGTACAGGTGACCAACATTCCTCTTAGCAGTGAAACTTATATTGATCGCAATGAGTCTTCTAACAAATTTCCATTTTATTATGGCTGTAGTTTATGGATACAGTTCATATTTTTATGTATATGGAGTTGTTCAACCTGCAGAAATAACTGCTGCCCAAAAATCTACGTACGGTGCAATAAAGTATTTGACTTACTGGGATTTGGTGAGTCATTTTATTATTAAACTTGATGACTAAATTTCTATTATATATAATCTGATCGCATAACACTGGTTGTTTTTTCTGCATTATTGCTTGAAGCAGTTTGCTATGTCTTGGATTTACATGTAATTAAACTTGTAATGGCTAAACATCTCTACCTTATATTTTATTTGACAAATGTTGGTTAACTGATTCTTTGTTAAGAGCTTCTAAAATATTTGAATTGTATTGTGAAACATCGTAATATTTCTATTTGCTATTTATGTAGCAAGAAATTTAAATTGATTTCTGATCCTAAATTTCTAACCATATATATGTGAACAAATTCTGCTTGCAATTTATTTTTATTTATATTATATATGTTGATGTACTGGCTGATTTTTTATAACAAATTATTCTTAAACCTGTGACAATGCATTAACACTTAAATTGAATTTGTGCATTCATTTTTATTATTCTTCTCCTTATTGTGCTTCATTTTGTCAATAAATTATATGCTTATGAATTAAAATTTTCTGTTATGTTCAGGTTTCAATTGGTTTATTTGTTCTATGCATTATTCTTCATGTATCAGTTGGTGCAGTGTGCCTTCTTCACCTTGTGTTTCCTGAGCAATGTCTTCTCATCAGCTCAACAGAACAAGCGCAAGACTGCACCTGAAAAGATCCTGGACTTCCTCTTCTCATCAATAGTCTTCCCTTTGGCTCTGGTACTGAATATTGTTTAAATATGATGTGGTTGTCAAACTTGGTGGATTTAATGCCTAGGAATAACTTTGTAGGCCATGAAATGCACTTGTCACTAAGTAGTAAATATTCTTATGTCTGTCACAGGCATGAAATAGTGTTCATAAAATGGCTATTTAAAGTAAAAATTAAAATATCAAAACTGTTGGTGTTAATGATATTTCAGAATTAAAATTTTATGTCTGTTATTCAATTCTCTTTGCAGTTTACAGACACAACCTTCTGGGGATTGTATTTCACCGACAGAGAACTCGTCTTCCCCAAAGTTTATGATGACTTCTACCCTTCATGGCTGAATCACGTTGTGCATTCCCTGCCTCTGGCAGCAGCATTGCTGGAGATGCTCTGTGTTCAGAGATCATTTCCTTCTTATAAGAAAGGCTTTTTGTGCAACAGTCTCTTCCTTGCGATCTATCTTTCATGGTAAATACCCCTTAAATCATTACTGTATTGTTGAATTAGGTTATTTCTAATTTTGTGCTACAATTTTGAGTTTTGACTTGAATTTTTTATTCACAGAGCAGATCTGCAAGCAGGTATGCTGTACCCTCGTCTTGAACATCAAAATAAATTCTAGCCCAATGTACTACTTATGGTTGCTCGAGTTCAATGCAAGTGATACGTAGCTTCATTCATAAAAATGTTCCAGAATAGTACTAAGTTAAGAGGGCACAATATGCTCAATGAAGTTATAAAATTTATAAATGAGTACCTACGCTGTGTAAAGACATTCACATATTTAGTTGATAAACAGTGAATTGAAATGTGTACTTTTCATTTTCATCACTTCCTTTATCCAATGTTGTTCCATAGACTGTTATGAATTTCATGTGCACATTCAGTACCTCCATTTGTACCCAAATCACTCATTTGTGGAGATTATTTTCTAAATTATTTCCATTTATTCTTATTCTTGTAGTGAATTTGTCATGTTTCATGACTACTGAGCAAATCTTCTACTCTCTGTTTAATGACAGAAACCAACATTTACCCAATAACATGCACTACCTGCAACCAAATTTTTATAGAATTTTCAATTAACTGTTTTCATGTCATTTTCAGGCATTGCTCTTCTTTGCTAGATTGTTGGTTTTGGTGTTGGTTTCTCTTTTCATTGCACCGTTATTCCTGTCTGCATATTTCTTTAAAAATATTACAAATCTCGCTATTGTTATCTACTGTTACTGATTCTCATTCCTACTTCAGGGTGCTATTCATTGCACACACGACGGGCGACTGGGTCTACCCCGTACTAGCCAAGCTACCCACCCCCCAACGAAGCTTGTTCATCTTTGGCTTGTTTGTACTCATGTGGTTGTGTTACTCAGTATGCCGCATCCTCTACTCGTTCAAATGGAGTAAGTTTAGTCATCTGACTCATCTCACTCTTGTGCAGTAGGGTAAGTCTGGCATTTCACCCTGACTCATATAGATAAACGTATTCCGGCCATCTGCTGCCACTCGTGAAAGTTGATGAAATCGTAAGTGCGGTATGCCGCTTGTATGAATCCTACTCAGAAATTATTCCAGAAGAGCTGTCTTTCTAGTTATTGTAATTTTAGCTACTATCTGAATCTTTTTCTGTTATTTGATGGGAACATAATGGTTGAATCATGATTTTAATTTGGTTGGAAATCGGTAAAAGGTTTCCACCTTACAGACTACAGTGTTCCTTGGTCTTCAACCTCGTTGAAAAGTTTTATCACTTTAAGTTGTATGTTAATGAGATAATTAAGAAGTCCTTACTCTTAATGTTGGTTAAATTTTAGTGATTATTTGTGTAGTCATGACGAGTGTCGGATTTAATTTCGATATTTGAAGTAAAATGAATATTTGTTTTGCAGGGCAACCCGCGCGTTCTGAGAAGAAAGTCCACCAGAAGAAGAATAAATGAAGGCTTTGCTCTTAGCTTGAAATCCATGCACCAGCAGCTGACGGCCGAAGGGCTCCTCTGATGTTCCAAATAATACTCTATATCAACCAGTGTTATTGATCTATGTAAAATTTCTGTCCTGTTGCTTGCCACTAGATTCCCATGACGCCAATTCTTGAGTTATTCTGGTAGAAAATACCCTATAGGCCATAGCGTATCATTCCATTGTTTAATTATTGTCATGAAATTAATGTGTTATTCGATAAATGGCGGAATATATTTTTCATCTAAAACTTTTATAGTTTACCATTTTGACGGTATTAGGAGAACTGAGCGCCTTCCGTGTCATATGACGACCAATCGGTCTTTGATTGTTGTGCTCATTTGCACACCCATTAGTGTGTGTTTATGGGTGTATTATTTATGTAATCCGGTATGATGCTATAATCTCATACGACGCATTAACGTTGGGTTTCTTGTTGTTAATGATTTGATTATTAAAATTATGTTCATTGTTAAGTTAAGAGCCTTTGTGGTGCCATTCTATACCACTGTGATTTTTCAAATGTACTTAACAGCGTTATTCTCTTGTCATTCTTAGTCTTGCTTGGTATTGCTTTTACTTTTCATTTCTTGCATCAGGATTTTGCTTACAGTTTCAATTAATATCTAGACAAATTTCAAGTAGAACGAGTTCACATTTTTCCATGTGCCACAAAATATCTTTCAGTAAATGTGTATGATGCGCTCACGATTTCATACAAGGCAAACTGGCTTTAGAGTAGCGCTCCCCAATTCGAGAAGCGTCGTGCCCAATCTCAATGTTTTTTTCGTGGTCCACCTGGCGGTACAATTTGACAAAACCATTTGAAGTTCATCTGTGCGCCCCATACAATTCGGGTAGCACTGTCTTGCTATTATCAGCTCATTCTTAAGTTATCACTTTACTTCGATTTTTTAAGGTTCTTCTGTTTTAGTGCAATGCTCAACTGGCGACTTGATATGTTGCTAAGTGTACCTGATTGCATTCGTTACTTTTAATGCACTAGCGTCCTAAGTGTAAGGGTAATATTTATTGTCAGAATCGTATCGTGCTTGAATTGCAGACTTTTATTGTTGGTGTGGTGAAACGGAATTTTTTTAATTAAATAAAATTACATAAATATATTGTTACCTTTGAATCTTTCGTTTAAATTTGCTGAACGCTGTTGTGAACTGTTGAGAAGGGTACCCTAAACTTATAACAGTTCAGGGTACCGAATCGGCTAGGAAGGCCAGACGGTTAAGCAACAAAAAAATATAACAGTGAGTTGCGTGTTCGAAACAGCGACTTGCTGTGATGTTCAGAATCGGCGATAAGTCTAACGGCCAAATGAACGCTGACAGCGCAAATTTAAACTATCGCGAAAAAATCTGCAGTTTATTAGTAAAACATCGGAATATGAAAGTTGCTTAGGCAAGACCTTTTTCCGATGATTTTATTGTGTATTTATATGAAATGGAAAAAAAAAATTTAGCCTCTCAAAGCGAAAATTAAAATTTGAAGTACCGGAACCCAATTTTGAAAATCACTCTTTTGCTCTGGTCCGTACGATCAGAAAATATCCTACAGATTCTAATACATATTCTCAGTCAGCATTGCATTCAATCAATAATAACATCAGTCCCTCATACAGGGAATATGTCTTCAAAATTCAAGAGTTGATTCACAAAAGGCAGGCCTCTATAGTACTACAATGGGTGCGAGGGCACTGTGGTATGAAGGTTAATGAAGTGGCAGAAAGGGCAGCCAATATGGGTCATCTCAATGCTCAATCAGCCTTGAGTGTGTTGAGCCTAGAAGAGTCCCTGACTGTATTGAGAGGAAAACTTCATCAACACTGGACTATCACATGGAAGACATCTGTTGCTCGCATCCAGAAGGGGACTTTATTGAGCAACAGCATGGATGAACCCAGACTGCGACCCTGTCTCTGCTAAGGCCCGGCAGAATGGAGTGTGCTGCCGCTCGACTCAGAATTGGACATGCCGGTGTCAGAAGCCATCTACATAGATTCAACATGAGCGACTCTGATCAATGTGCTACGTGCAACACTGTGGATACGATTGAGCACTACTTATTGCATTGTCAGCGGCATGCACAGCCCAGACAAGAGCTGAAAACTAATTTAAGGAGTATAAATGTACAATTTTCTGTGCGTGAACTTTTGGGGGGAGGGAACTATGATGCTGATGTACAAAGGAAAATCTTTCAATTTTTGATGGTATACATTTTGAAATCAGGTAGGGTTATCGAAATTTAGACAGGTGACCAAAATTGAAATTTTGCTTACATGTATGTATAAGTGTGTATATATTTATACCTACTTCTATTAGTTAACCCAATTTAACTATCAATTATTGCGCCAAGTTCTATAAGCAATGGCCCTTGCTTTCAGATATTTTTTTCATGTTATGTGCAGAGGTGGGCAGCAGCGCGCTACATGTAGCGGCCGCTACTAGCGGCTGTTACATTTTCAGTAGCGGTAGCGGTAGCGGCGCTACATTCAAGGCAATGCAGCGGTAGCGGTAGCGCCCGCTACATATTTAAGTAGCGATACGAGGTTTTGCCGCTACAGCGCTAACGCTACCTTTATAGATAAAGCCTTTAGATTTTACTTAGAATAGAATAGAAGTGTCGGCGCTGAAGAAATAGGCCCATGGCCTGTTGCCGATTCTTGAACTTTTCGTGACTTGATTCACAAGGGATCCTTCTTCTTAATAGTATTAAATATTATTTATAAACCAGCATGATACATACATAATATAAATTACAGAATAAAACTGTACGAATGATTTCGGTGTAATTTTGTCAACCTCAGGTAGTTACTAGTGTCAACATGTTAGTTGTTACTTGTTAAGATGTTACCAGTTACCATTTACAGGGGAGACTGGAGAGAGTCAGCTGCGTTCATCGAGTGAACATCTCTAGTGTCTATCTCCCTTGATTGCGTAAAGTTAACCGGGCCTTAAACCGGCAAATAATAATTGATAATTCACGTTTAACTTGATCTTGGACTATACTTCTATATATACCTCGAGTATATTTAGTGAGGGTCCTGTCCAAGTGTCCAGAGTCAAGAACCCGGCGGGCCGGCTGGCTTTCTCGCCCCCTCCCCCCTCCTCTTCTCTCCATGAGAAGAGGTAGGTAGGAGTAGGTTTGTCATTTGTGGGCCAGCCAAGGTTTGAATTTAGGTA